ATCTCCTCAGGTCCCTTGCACCCCTACCAATTATGAAACTATTTATTATACTTATCTATGATATAGTGTCAATAAACCTTTTATTTTAAAAAGCATAACTTGTTTCTCATTTTAGTTCAACCTTCTTTCCATTCTTAAATTCACTCTATTTTTTCCTTCTTAAATGGATCATAACCTATCTTCCCCCTCATCCAGTCTGTCCTCCTGACATGTTACATGTCTTGAATCAGAACCACCCCCTCCAGCCCCCTCTGGCTCCCTGCTAGCTTCAGGAAAAGCAGTGTAAATGGGTGTATTTGTCTAAAGCAGAAGGGATGGACACAGAGTATGTCAATGTGATAAGCAACAATGTGGTCTATGTTAAGTATCCTGTCTTGAAATGAAATACGCACTTAAGAGCAGTGCTTACTGTCAATGCTTTGGAATTAGCAGCCATGAATTTGAATCTAATTTACTCTTGTCATTTTCAGAATTTTTATAGTTAATTTTGGAGTTGCTGTTAGGAGTCTTGAAAATGAGAACTCGTCATTTTTACAAATGCTATTAGACACCCTGAAAATAACAGAAACTAACCAGGTTCATGGCTGTTAGAAGTCTGAAAAATTACAGAAGTTAGTTTCAGGGCTCCTATCTCCTCTCATTTTCAAGGTTTCTAATAGCAGCTCAAAACCCACGTTCAACTGATTTCCCTTCACCGTTTTGATGCCCATTAGTACACAGTTAAACAGAGCAGCTGCATTAAGAAGTAGACAGCAGGGTTGAAAAACAGTGTGAACTTGGGCAGATTATGTACTTCACTGGTATGCAAATAACCTGTAACTGTTATGATATAATCAATGGGCAAAATACTGGGACATGGTGTTATACAACCAAGCAAATTATGCACTTATCCAGTATGCATAAATAAGTGGAATAAACAACTATAGCTTACCTTTTTTCCCCGATACTGACAATTCATATAAACGGTTTAACTTTGGCAAGACTGGCTTTATAACATGGATCTGAAATTCAAACGATAAGTTAAGTAATGAATTTACTTCACTTCTCAAAAAAATATCTTGTATAACAGATACACTTGGGGTTAGTTCTTGCTCTCCATCAAGTACCACTGGTGGCTTAACTTTATTTAAATTAATTAACTTACTCTGGATCAGCACCTGGGTAACTAGAATCTGGTACATGGTACTTAAATAAGAAGTGTATCTAAATTACAGTTAACTGTTTAAATTTGCATTCCTACTGTATAATACCAACTACAGTATTTCCCAATTAGCAACGTAAATGCTTGTGAATAAAAACTAAAATTTGCACTGAAAACCTACAAAACAGCACAAAATGTGAAGCTTTCTTTAATAAAACAATGTAATTAATATTTCTCTCAGCAAAGACCAGATGAATACCTTGTTTTAAACAGTAAAAAACCGCAGAGCAACTGAGTTGACACTGAACAAAGACTTGGAATCAAAAACACAAGGGATGATGCTGAGTTAGAAGAATGAAACAGGTGGGCACTAGCGGCTAAAAAATAATTAAGGAACCCAGGAAGGTTGGAAGACTCATCTTTCTGCCACAAAAATGATGAAGTATTACCACCTTGCCTTTAAACTATTTATGTATCATACGCCAAGCATTTTGTAAGTGGGGACTTAAAACACTGTATTTAATATGCTTAAGATTAGCAGCAATATTATAAGTAAGCTTTGGTTTTGTACAGACCTTTAAAAAGCACGTACCTGATTTCCCTCTAAAGTTTCCATTATCAAAATGAAATTTTCCCAAAATTGCACAAGTTTTTCATTCTCCTCAGCAGACCACCAAAAAAGACTCGGTTCTAATTGAATATATGACATTATTATTTAGAGATTGTATTTGTTCAAGTTTACACAAACACTCTCCAGATGAATTAAGTAAACTCTACTTAACATTTCTTCATCCTATACTCTTTCTGAATCCGTAACTCCTACTGACATCAGTAGCTTTGCCTCAGCAAGCCCTGAAAAAATTAAGCCCTACAGTTTAACAAACTTTTAAGAGCAAATATAAAACCATACACTTTCTTATATTCTCTTGTGGCTCGTTTCAAAAGAACATATTCTAATGTTTTCCTGGTAAATCCGCTAAGGAAAGGGAATAAAATGTGGCCATATCAATCACCTGTCAAAATTTGCAAGGGCAAGTTGCATGGCTTACACAACACTACAACAACCTCTAAAGTTTCAACAAAGCTGATGAAATTTTAATGGGAAGCAGACATTTTTTAGGCAGCCATTTCTCTCAAGCCACAAGGACTAAATTATGTCTCTCTTTGTGTGAGGTAAGGCAAGAGAAATAAATACAGGGAAGGTTTCCCCAACCTTCATTGCCTTTCAAGACCCAGACATAATAAGGCATCTAAAATGGAGGGTGCAAGAGAAAAACAAAATACAGGTAGCAGTTGCCAAGGACCAAAGTGAGCATTTCAAAAAGTCCTTCTGCCAGTGGTCCACAGCCCTTGTGGATTATTATGAAATAACCTCAGAGGCTGATTTGGCATCAGAGTGTAAGCACAGGAAACATTCAGCAAACTGAAGGCTCTTGAGAGGTCTGAAAATGGATCTGATTTGGAAATGTGTCATTAACCAACTACTTCCATGACTTCTTAAGCCATGGGGCCTCTATCGTAAACCCCTCAACAGTGCATTAATAAGGCTCTAACAATTTCCATAGCTATTCACCACACTGAAGCGACAGTGGTATATGGTGGCTGCAGTCATGAGGGAGATGGATGTGAACTGTGCCAGCAAGGGCACAGTGGCCTTTCAGTCAGCTCCTAAAGTGGCTGTAACACTGGTAAAAAGTAGGGTGGCTTTGTACTTTAAAGACTAAGCAAGGGTGGGAGGGTGCATGTGTTTAAACCAGCAGTATTGAAGAGTTTAAGACAGAGGCCCTGTGACTTAAGAAGTCATGAAAGTAGTCAAATTAGACCCATCTTCAGACCTCTCAAGAGCCTTCATTTTGCACAATATTTCCTGTCCTTACACTCTGATGCCAAAACAGCCTTGTGGATTATTATGCAATAGCTGATGGAGTGAGCACCAAGCAAGGTAAGTGTGCATATATATAGCTGAGGGAGTAAGATTCAGGACGAATGAGTTGAGTTGATGGACTGAGCTTCTGCACCTTATAGACTAACTAAAGGAGAGACAAAGATACTAACCAAAATAGATAGTGAGTGTGTGTATGTGTATGTGTCTGTGTGTACATGTATACATACACAGGTGCATGAGGACATATGTACACACTACATTACATAGCTACTTGGATAAATATATAAGGTGCAGATCTACCCTGCCTTCTACTTGACTTCAGACTAACATCTCTATCAGAAGAATGAAGACTTATGTGGGCCTGAAGAGGACTGTTTGCTGCGCACAGCCCAGGCTGAGCACTAGCCCCTGCCCTCCACACCCACAAGCTCCAGCGCCAGCAGCTGGGGGGCGTCCCAAGCAGGACAACCAGCGCTGCACTCCACCTCCCACCTCCAGGGCACTTGTGCCCATTTTGAGGACTTGGTGGGGTCTCCAACTGTGGGGGAGGTACATTTCACAAGAAGAGTGCAAGCCGGTGGGAAGAGGCAACTAGCCCTGAAGGAGATGCAACAGGG